TGATTTCAAAAAATGTTTGCACATTTGAAATATGTTCACGGTTTCATAAAATGTGTTCACAATTATAAAAATGATCACGACCTAAAAAAAGTTTATAAATTTGGAAAAGATGTTTGCAAAAATGGAAAATGGAAAATGAAAATAAATAAAAGACAAACTTAGAAAAAAGAAAAGGAGAAACAAAAATGAAAAAAATTAAAACATAAAAAGAAAAAGCAAAAATCCAGAAATATAAAAGAAACAAGAATCAGAAGAAAAGACAAAGAAAAAAGGGAAACTCTTTCCTTCACCCGACGGATCGCACGCAAGCCATCCGTTGCCTCCTCTATGTGACACGTGTACATGTATCCTTCGCACCTGTCTTTCCGCAACATCATGTGTGTTGCAAAACTGTCTTCCGCAACAACACCTATGTTGCGAAAAAATGAAGACAAAAAAGCGAAAAAATGAAGACAAAAAAGCGAAAAAATGAAGACAAAAAAATAACAAATATTTCTGCAACATTGTCTATGTTGCGATTTGGTTTCCGCCGCAACAATACCCATGTTGCAAAAACAGTGATGAAAAAAAAATCTGCAACATCAACTATGTCGGAAAAAAATTCTGCAACATAACATTTGTTGCAAAGTATTTCTGCAACAATGCCCTTGTTGCAATAATGAGAACAGTGTTAGATGCTGGATACCTATACAAATAACAGTTGCCGAGGCGGCGAATCTTTTAGAAAAATCCGCCGGACGCGTAGCGTGGCCAAAGAAAAAAACAGAAAAAAAATCCGGTTCAGTGAAGGTCCTAGACAGCGGCCTACAGGCCAAATAGGAACGGCCCTGCCGCATGGCCTACCTTAGAATATGTTTTTTTTTAAGGGAAGCCTACCTTAGAATGGTGAACGCTGACCCGAAAACTCTCTATTGGGCCTAGATATGGGCCGAAACCGGCGTCGAGACTCGAGAGCAGTTCGCCCGTTAGCACGGAACTATCGACCGCAGCGCAGAAGCAAAAGCCCCAATCCCCTCCGCCTCCGCCGCCGTTCTTCTCCGTCCGCCTGCGCTCCAGCCGTGCCCTTCTCGTCGTCACCCACCGGCCTCGAGCTCCCCAGCCACCGGCAACCGGAGGCGGCGCCATGTCTCAGAACAACCCCTCCCAGCTCCTCCCCTCAGGTGCGCAGGACAACATCGCTTTTTCTCGCAAAGCTTCTTTCGATTCCCCTAGCTGGCTAGCTCCGTCGCCTAATCTGCTGGGTTCGAGCTCCTGACTCACGGCTTTTGCCTCTTTTCTGTGCGCGTGTCTCCACGCGCGCGCGCGTGCTTGTGCGAACTGGTGCGACGGGCAGAGCTGATCGACCGGTGCATCGGATCTAAGATTTGGGTGATCATGAAGGGAGACAAGGAGCTCGTCGGCACCCTCTGCGGGTTCGACGTCTACGTCAACATGGTCCTCGAGGACGTCACTGAATAGTAAGTGCAGCCCACCCAAACCCTAAACCCTAGCTTCTTTAGATCGATGCGCATCAGGTTTTACCTGGAATCTTGGGTGAAGTCTGTCTTATTTTGAGTGAGTTATCAGCATATTTTAATTATGCTGATGAGCTCACCTAGTTATGACTTGAATTTTGTACTTACACATATGTTGTAACAGCGTCACATATCTGACCGTAGCGAAAATATGTTAACAATTCGCACCAGATTAGCATGACCGCAGGAGTTCACGCCAATTAACGAACTGAGCATCTTCTATCAGTCTATCTGATGGGTCCTGGGCTCGTTGGACTTTGTGTGTTTCGTCTTGTCTTATACGGAGTAGATTAGAAACTCTCACTATCAGTGATACTTGATGCGTACAACACAAGGTTGCTGTAGTAGATATAAAACGAGCATTCGTGCAGCTGGTGCATATGTATCTCACATTGACACTTGCTTGACTTCCAAAGATCACAACACAGCTATCTGTTTTCTGATTTAACATTGTGTATCATGATTGCTGATAGAATGAAAATGGATATAGACAAGTGTACTAGAAGGCTGGGAGGGAGTTGTCTACTTAGAATGGAAACTGATATTCCTTTTCAGAGATGCTGGAAGTACTTTTCCATGGATGTTGTGCTAATTCTACCGTTCATGTCATACTAGTCCACGGATAATGCAGTGAATTTTTAACTTCCATTGATTTCACATTAGTTCATCAAAGATGCTGAGATGGTGGTGCATAATGTCATGTATTGCAAATTCGTGTTGCAGCTGCAGAAGTAAATAAAATAGCATGACTGTTAGTATTTTATGAAGCTCAGAAGGAAATCGTATATAGACCCAGTTTCGTGTGCACCTGATGGCCAGGCAAACATTGAATGCTTGACGCATAATTTAGTATGTTTAGCGAAATGCTGGATATTGATGGATCTTTCCTTTGCTTAGGCGACGCCGAGTAGTTGCAAAAAAATTCTAGGTAGTCAATCTGGAAGCTCATTACTTCAAAATGATGTTTACGAGTAGTCCTTTGTTGGCTTCATACATACTTTTTGTCTGATCTTTTTTTGAGGACTTGCTTCTGAAATTCTAGTCTAATATCCTTGGTTCAATTTTCCTTTGCATGTTTTGCAGTGAGTATACTGCCGAGGGCCGGCGCATTACGAAACTTGATCAGATCCTCCTCAATGGCAACAACATAGCCATCGTAAGAATTTACATTCGAACACCAACAGCAGTATCTGACTGTGCTAAACGATCAGGCTGATAACATTTTTGTTTTTTCCCTGACAGTTAGTTCCTGGTGGTTCACCGCCAGATGCTGCATGAGCTAGCAAGCACTTCTGGAGGATATCTGTTTGAGGCGAAATTAGACGCGGTGAAGTCTGGACCTTGTATTGCGAAAGCGCTAGATGTTTCATGGTCAAATGTGCTTTCCTCTGTATGATGGAACCTACTGGGCTGAAAGATGCACCTGCGATTGCTGCACTTGTATGACTTAGCATTCGGCAATGCTAATTGTGACATGTCTCTAGTTGCTGTTTATGTTTATCATTCTGCAATGTTCCTCCAGACGATTGCAATTGTGGGGTTACTGAAATTATAGGTAGGTGATTTTGTCGTAGTGAGCATGGGGGCTGGCTTCTAAAATAAGCTGGGGAGGAAGCCTTTTGGTTCATATTTTTTTTCTAAACTCAAGAACAAACACTAAATTTTTTTCCCACTAAACAAACACATCAATACAAAACAGTGAACAAACACATTATTTTTCTTTTTTCTTTTACATTTGTATGGACATACTTCCTCTGCTCACAAATATAAGATGTTTTGGATATTTCAATATGGACTACATACAGTCTGAAATGGGTGAACAAACACACTAAAGCGTGTTTATGTACATCTGATTCACAACAAAGTTGGAACATCTTATATTTTGTGAACTGAGGGAGTATTTGTAAAATCAGTTGATAATCAGTTAATTCTCTACCTTTGAAACAATATTTCATTTAATAATGCATTTACAAATGGTGTTTTATATTTATAAGAGTAATTTTGTAAATCAACTGACTACTATAATTCACAGTCGACTGAGACATGCTTTCCTTATTTTTCTAATGAGCCTGCAGTTTAAAGCTACAAAAATGATTGTTCAACTTTAGTGCTGTAACCTAATGAAGTTGGGAAATTATACACTTGAGTGACCAAGTAGTTCTGTACTCCATTGCATGCCTAATCCAAAGATGAATTGTCCTGAACCAGAAGTCGCGGTTGAGTAGCTCCGAGTAGATGACGCCAGATACTTAAAACCTCGTGTGCACCAGCCCATGTAGCATCAAGAAGACGTTGGTTTGAATGTCAAAAAAAAAAAACGTTGGTTTGAGAGACTAGGCACACCAACTGCAGGGATGAAGCAGCCGACAACGTGGGCCAAACGATATTCGTCGAAGCGCAGAGCGGAGCCGAGAGGCAAAACAATGGTTCTTTAACTCAAAAGTCGAAATATTTGCACAAGATAAGCAACTAAGCATACAAAAAGCACATTCCTATTTCTGTTCTCTTCCTCAAATCTGTAGACAACAGCAATATATACAGACGGCTTTACAGCTACACATTGTTTCCTGGGCATTAGCCACTGTATATTACATAACTATGATTTTCTTACCTTCTATGCATGTTCTGTGAAGTATGGATACAAAGAGTATTGCTCACAAGCCGCCACATCAAAAGATTGGCGGCACGAAACACACCGGAGGTGAACGACATTGTCATCAACCTGCTGAACAGTTGGAATGTGCTAAGCTTTCAGCAATCAATGAAACATAACTTAGAAGAAACTAGGATACACTAATCTTACTCCCCTTTTGCTTTTGAAGATAAGCTACTCCAACTGTTCACTTTTTACGACTATTTTAGCAAGTGTGTCATGCAAATAGAAATTTTAGACAATCTTGAGCATATACCTAACTGGCATCAAACTTCTACCGGTAAGGGCACCCCAAAATGGATACTCCCCTGGTGAATCCGTTAATATTGACAATCAAACATCCTACCAGTTTCCACGAGTAACACGCACACACACGTTTTTAATAATGGAAACTTTATGCACAATCAAAGTTGTTTTAATTCATCACGCCGACACTCCATACACAGGTTATGCAGGTACCAATCATTCCATGTGTTGATCCTTACTGAATGCAACATAAGCATATATAAATACCTATTAGAGAAATAATTAGTTGAATCTCATTTCCATATGTCCATCTATCTATGGAGTGTCTTGTTGTCAAGTATCTTCTCTTGTTTTTAAAAAGCTTGCACCATTTTTTTTAAGGAAAAACTAGTGCCTGTATATTTATTCTTGGGCAACTAATTCTTACACTTGTGTGATTACTACCAGGATTCCTTAAGCTTCCCACACGGAAAATTTTATAGCCATTTTAGGTGACACACAGAAATTAGAAAACTGAAATACGAAGTTTAGTGACAGGAATAGAATGCAGGATCTGAACTCATTAATTACCAGCTAAAATATCCTCGCTATTTGGTATGTTCATACTCCTGGCTCTTGAATGGATCACTTGAACTCACCTCATTCTTTGCAAACTGTCACAAATCAATGGTCAGATTCAGCATTTCAGAAACAAGAAGCAGAAAATATGTCAGGCAGAGAAACAAACCGTTGTTGTCGTTATTGTCGCCATTGTGACAGGTTGACTCGATGGCAAGATGAAGTTGCTCCAAAATAGATGGTCCGCGGAAGGATCGGCAGGGCTCCAGGTACTTTTCATTGGTGTAGGCATAACAGGGGCCAATGTGTACGGAGCTCTTTGTACTAGCAACCCATTCATGTTAATGTCAACTGGAGATGTATGATGTCCAGTAGTAGGTACTGACACAACAACCTTTCCTTCATCTATTTCTTTGCTAAATGTACATTCTTCAGATAATTTTGTAGACTTCTCCAAGAAGCTTTTGAAGGCACCAGACTGAGATAAGATACTGCACGCAGATAGCCCCGCTGAAGAGGGGTTTGAATGGGAACCGAGGCCAAGAGTAGGCAGCTTATAGGCCTCAGTCAGTTGCACTGAACCTTCTATAGCACGGATTTCATCAGCAACCTCTTCTGCTTTTGATGTATCTGATTGCCGTGTCTTTTTGGGTACCCACCACCTAATGTAATTTGTTAGATCAATTTTCCTCTCTAACCCGAAGCTTCCTGCAAATTTTCCATCCAGTGCAATGCCCTTTCCTGTAATATGAATAAGTTGCAACTTACAAGGTATCACTGCCTATTTATCACTTCTTTAGTTTGTTAACTTGAAAGAGCAGTGTAGTAGTATGCATAGACGCACCACAACTGAGGTTCATGTAGTCATTGCCAAGTAGTTGTCCCAAAGAAGCATCCCATCTGGAATTATGGAGCTGCCTGCATAACATAAGTATGAAGCTTAAGTAATGCACTTGCAGCTTTTTAGTGACGGTTTATGTCGTGACACTTAATTGAAAATTTGAACATTTCTTGTTGCAACATTTATGATTACAATCTGTATATTGACATGGCACACATCTCACAAAACTTTTACTCTACATGCCTGGCACAGTTTAAGTTGAAAAGGTATAGTCTTCAATGCTGATGTCTGGTCAATATTTCAGACTAATGGAACTAAATAAAGCTAGTATTACATTACTTGTCACCAATTGATATTGTACTACCACTTTCCCAAATACGAATATCTACCTGTATATGGATAGGCCCCACACTGCCAATGATCAGATCCGACTCGTGGTACAGAGTGAAAAACTAGGTACTTGTTGTATTACTATGAAGCCCAAAAGGATTGTATGATTGAGGGATTGGGTTTGGAAACTAGGTACTCGTTGTATTACTATGAAGCCCAAAAGGATGGTATGATTGAGGGATTGGGTTTGGAAGCAATTTATGTTTAGTACAAGCTGCAGATATGTTCATTTTCCAAGCTAAGCGCAATTTTGCTTCAAGGAGTTACCAAAGTCTAACTAAGGGCTACCAGTATAGAACTATACTCTTTTTTCAATCCAATTTTCAAGGAAACTGCCAAGCTGTCATGGTGCAAAACCACAATTTGATACATTAGCTATTGAATACTTTATTTGCTCATTTTAGTTTTGCAGTGTTGCCCCGTCGTGAAGATTTCTGGCAGAAAAACACAAAGCAACAGAGAAGGTTATAAAGTATATCAGATTGTAGCCAAATTTCCAACCCATTAAATTGCGTGGCAGAAATATTTGTAGCAATAAAGCACAATACAATCATATTAAGCAAAGTATCGACAGTTTAAACAATTTGGAATAAATGATTTGCATGTGGAAAAACTTTTACAGGGATGCATTACAGAGTAAACTCTCGTAAAACAACAAACATAAAATAAATTTGCATAGTAGAGGATATATTTCTCAATCATTAAAACATACCTGGGAAGCCCACGATATTTTGGTAATCCCCTAGAGAAGGCACTGCTCTTTCTGCAAGGCATGCATCTTCCAGTCATTGCTTAATAAAATAAATAATGTCCATGCATTATAAATGCACGAATATACCTTCGAAGAGATACAAGATAGTCCTCCTTGGAGATCATCTGCATCTCTTCAACATCTCTTGTATAATCGGAGACCTAAATACGCAAATACATAATGAACATAAGTTTGCCAATTGTCAAAATTTTCATTAGGTATTGTGACAGTTGACATGGAATTGAAAATAATGAAGCAAATATAATGTTTGTTTTGTCAATACTCCTCAGAAGACATCGGTGTTATTTGTTTTAGGTTACAGTTGCAAAATAAAAAATAAAAAACCAAACCAGATAAGAGAATCATAGACTTATAATAAAGATGAGCTGAGGCCTCATATATCCTAATTTTAATTGTGCTTTATGAAAAGTAGGCACTACATAGTAAACAGTTTTGAGTTTCATCCCAACACTTATATCTGTAAATATGTAACCAAGCCAAACCAGATAAGAGAATCATCGGCTTAAACTGAACTGAGGTAACATGTATCTCAAATTTCGATATACATAATGTAAAGTAGACAAAAGAGATTAGATATTTCTGAAATCTAGATATTAAATTTGGAAGCTTCCAGTTTCTGTGCAAGAATTTTGTTACATCTCAGGTTCTCATTGCTGAATATTAGTAACAAACAGACTGATTAGCACACAAAGTATCAGTTTCAACATGGTACACTTCCTTAAATAAATGATTAACGCATTCAACTAAACCATGATCTTGTTAAAAAGGGAAAAATATACTCCCTCCATTACATAATGTAGTGCATGTAGATTTTTTGAAAAGTCAAACCTCGCAAACTTTGACCAAGTTTTTGAAGAGAAACATTAACATCTAGAATGTCAAGCGTATATCACTAGGTTCATTATAAGAAATAGTTTCGTATTTTATATATTTGATATTGTAGATATAAATAGTTTCCCCTATAAACTTGGTCAAAGTTTGACTTTTCAAAAATCTACACGCACTATATTATGGAACGGAGGGAGTACTTAATAATTTCAGGTGGAAGAATTTAACAGAGACTAGAAAACAAGAGCTGGATGGCATAAGCAAATCTTATAGACGACTCACAGGAAAATTTATCTGTGTTCCAGCTCCCCAGTATTTCAATGCAGCAAGATCATAGGCTCTTGCCGCAGCCTCTTCATCATCATATGCGCCTATGTTGCACATCAATGGTGGGCATTAGGAACATCTTATCAAGTTAACACTATGTGCATTTTAATGTCAGCGTCGGCGGTGCTCCTTACCCAAATATACTGCAGGATTGGTGCGCCGTGTAGTTTCCCATGTAAAAGAAACAATGACATTAAATTACATAAAGGACAACTACAGATGAAAAAATTAAATGGTAAATCATACTGATATAGTTAACTTTAAGTCTTTAACACAAGTCATCTTATGGAGATATGAAAGAAATCATGCACATAATATAAAAACTGAGATATGCAGAGTGCAGACTCTTTACACCCAGTAAATGCATGCGGTGGTTATGGCACAACAGATAATTATCTAGTCAAAGGGCACCTGACTCAAGCAACAGTAAAAAAAGGTCTGTTCGAGTGTAAACTTGTAGACGGAAGAACTACTTAATTACTACATACATTCCATATCGGATGATGAATGATTGAGGATTAGAGATCTGAAGCCAAATGAACTCTGCAATAAAAGGAAGCTACGATGGACAAGTTTTCCTATACACCAATGTAAGATTGCTAAAGAAGCATGATAAATTTACAACAGCTGTAATTCTGCACTGAGCACACAATAGTCGCATACCTTGTTTCCCTTTTTTGTTCTGATTCTGATTCCATGTGCTTTTGTCCCAAAGGTGAGCCTCATATCGCCCTGTCCATCTATGCCTATTGATGCAACATCGGGCTAAGTAATAAATTAAATGAATACATGTATAAGGAACATCAAAAGGAGACAATGTTTTGCTCACAGCAAGTTTAAGAAAGTATGCCTGTCAGAGGCAGCAAAAAAGAAAAGAAGTAATATAGTACATAAAAAGTACTCATAAAATTGTGGAGGAAGGACCGAGTCAATAAGGGACAAATACGAAATGTGCACCGGGAATCATGAAGTGCCAAGTACAGTAAACTGGTGAAACTTAGAAGTATTTGTAAACAATTAAGGTGGTCAAAAGCAACAAGTGTTTGATATCGGAGGTAATACTTGTATTTTCTCGCGGAGATTTCTGGTTGGGCATGCACATTAACCATTAGCATGTGCTGATGTGCAGATCATGGTTTGAACAGGGTACTAACTGTGATGTCGATACATTAATTTTTAGCTGTTTCGTAATAACCAGAGACAAACACTGGCTGCAATGTGCAGATACCTAACAGCAATAGTCCTCTCTAACATTCACTTATTCTCGTCGTGTGACAAACATTGGCTGTGAGAGTGTGCAGACATCTACTGTAACAGGTAACAGCGATAGTCGACTCTAACATTCATTCTCATCGTGTGCTAGTTCTCATCAGATCTCCCAGGTTAGTCGCGCTCTGCATCATTTTCCGATACGCTCCCCAATGAACATGCACTCGAGACAGAGACGCACACGAAAGCTCAGTGGCGATCTGTGGTTCTGAACTTCTTCCAGCCGCGCTCGCCCCGAAACCGGAAGCAGGTGGCATCGGAGATGAGCTAGTGACCCGTGAGCGGGCCAGGCAGGGGCGGTACGTACCGGGTGACCCCGCGGTAGATGGAGCTGCGCTTCCCGGCGGCGCAGGGCGTCATGCGGCTGATGCGGTCCTTGGCGGTGCAGACGCGCTCCTTCCGCGCCGGCGCGAGCCTCCTGGGCGGGGCCTGCTCCGCGACCGCCGCGCCGTATGCGGGCGGCGGCCCCTCGCTTCCCCCCGCCGCGGCCTCCATCTTCTTCTGCAGCCCCGCCGCGTCGGCCGCGGCGGGGTTGGGGGAGGCCATGGCGCCGCCGTAGAGCGCCCTCCGCCGGATCGGTCGGGCTGGCTAGGAGGATGGGGGCGAGCGCTTTGGCCTTCGGTCTTCGG